TAAAAAAGTTAAAGGTAAAGGACCCCTGACAGTTAAGTCCAGTCACGGACGACTCTGGGGTTGCGGTGCTCATCTCGCTTTACTGGCCGAGGGAGCCGATGTTTGTTCACAGACAGTTTTTCCGGGTCATGTGGCCAGCGTGACTAAATCGCTTCTGGCGAAACCAGAGCAGCACAAGGAAACGCCATTTACCTTCCTGCCAGAGTGGTACCTATTTATCTACTTGCACTTTGACATGTTTTTGAACTGCTAGGTATCTTTTTGCAAACTGCTTCATGGGTGGGTCTTTTTTTAAAAAAAGCAATCAAGGGGTGTATACATTTTATGGAATAAATAAATATGTTTAAAATTGTGCTTTGGAAAAAGAAGGCATTCAGACACACAAAATAATCAGTTGTTTCTGGTGCCCTTCTATTTACCATCAAATCTCTCTGCAGCTCTTGCAATATGGTGAAATCTACCTCCCAAAGACACTGTGAAAAAAATCCTGTTGCCATTCATTGTAGAGGGATTCAGCATATGCATGCAGCCAAATGCCCAGAAGTACGGATGTGTTGATTTCTTCTTTAAGGCAGTGGTGATACACTGGGCTAAGGACTTTGGATATAATATCCAACTTTCATCCTGGGAAAAGTTATGGTAAGAGGAAATAAAATTTACTGCATGCTGTTCGTTGAAAGAAAATTATATGAAATTGATGCATTGCTGGTATCTAACACCGAGTAAAATTGCTAAAATGTACTAAACAAGTTCTAAACCATGTTGGAAATGTAAAGAGAAAGAGGGTACTTTTTACCATATGTGGTAGACATGTAAATTGGTAAAGGCTTTCTGGGAAATGATATATAATGAGTTTAAAAAAATGTTTAAGAATACATTTGTTAAAAAACCAGAAGCCTTTTTACTAGGCTACTAGCCCAGAGATGGCAGGAAGGAGAAATACCAACAAAAGAATGGCAGATGAAACTGATGGACTATGCGGAAATGGCGAAAGTGACAAGGAAGTTCGGAAACCAGGAAGATCAAGTATTTTCTAAAGACAGGAATACATACGTAATTTACTTAAAAGACCACTATAAATAGTTAAAATCTTTGGCAGGGATGTAAAGACACTTGTAATGTGGAATTGATTTAATCATAATTATGGTTATATAATAGCTAGATAAGGGTAAAAGATGCAGTAAATTTAATCTTAAAGATGGAACCCGTGGAGGGATGGAAGGAGGTGTAAGAGTTTGAAAGAACTCTATTTTAATGTTTGAAATCACTATGTTTTATATGTATAAAAACTTTTCAAAAACTTAATAACAAAATTATAAAAAAGAAGTGTGGATGTGGTTCAGTTGTGGATGCCCAATCATTGTATCTTAAGAAAGTTTTGAACCAAGAAGGTGCTGAATTCAAGACAGTTCAGTCCAGAAGGTACACACTTTGACTTAAAACAGCTATTCAAAAGTTGGTTTCTCATCCTGTCATGATGGGTTTGTTTTATTTTTTGTGCTTAGACATGTGACTGTACTCTGTAGCATCAAACACCTCATGCATCCTTCTGTTTCTACCTCTAAAGCTTGATCTTATTAGCTTTTGCATAGTTAGGTTTTTGCTACTGCTCTCAGGGAGGCTGCAAAAGACTTGGTTTGTTTTCAGGCAATAAATGGCAGCAGAATTTTTGCCCCACTCCTGCTATAGGACAACTGTGTTTGTTTTTAGCTATTGTAAATAAAGGTTTTTTTAAAATATTGTTTGTATGTGTGTGCTTTTAATAAAGGGAGAGAGGGAAGGAAAGATTTCTTATCTGTCTGGGTAAAAAGCATGGGGCTCATAGTAAGAATAGAGGTGGTAAAAAAAAAGTACAAAACTGGATCCTATCCAACAGGACATAAACCCAGAAGAATTGCTTGGTCTTGTGATATAAATAGATGTTATATAATAATTGTTATCTTCTCCAAAGGTTTACAGTCATACTCAGCAGCACTGCTCCAAAGTCTGAATGTAATGAGTTGTTGCTCTCACTTTCAGTGCAGGCTCAGTTGGGCGGCAATTCAATGCTCAAAGAGCCCCATGCTTCATGGAGTACCAATCTTTGTAAAGTCGTACCTTGGAAGTCGAACAGAATCCATTCCAAAAGTCTGTTCAACTCCCAAAACATTCAGAAACCGCAGAAGCCCCGTTGGACATTTGGGTTCCAAAGAACGTTCACAAACAGGATCAATCGCTTCCGGGTTTCCGGTGTTCGGGAGCCAAAATGTCCAAGTACCAAGGCGTTCAGGATCCAAGGTACAACTGTATTCCTCAAGGAAAGATGTCAAACGGCTTTACCATATGAACTTGGAGGTTGTTGCAGTTTCACAGCTATACAAGATTTAAGATGGCTATCATATGACTTTGCAGCACAATGGTATACTTTTATTTATCATGCATTTGATGACTCGTAAGTATAACATGTTGGATACAACCCTTTGTTGTCATTTTCTTCTAAGAGACTCTCAGGACTACTCCTCTCAAAACAGTTAAAGGTAAAGGTAAAGGTACCCCTGCCCGTACGGGCAAGTCGTGTCCGACTCTAGGGTTGTGCACTCATCTCACTTAAGAGGCCGGGAGCCAGCGCTGTCCGCAGACACTTCCGGGTCACGTGGCCAGCGTGATGAAGCTGCTCTGGCGAGCCGGCACCAGTGCAGCACACGGAAACGCCGTTTACCTTCCCGCTATAAAGCGGTACCTATTTATCTACTTGCACTTAGGGGTGCTTTCGAACTGCTAGGTGGGCAGGAGCTGGGACCGAAAGAAGGGAGCTCACCCCGCCGTGGGGATTCGAACCGCCGACCATACGATCGGCAAGTCCTAGGCACTGAGGTTTTACCCACAGCGCCACCCGCGTCCCTCTCAAAACAGTTACCCTTCCGAAAAGAGAGAGAGAAATTCCAGCGTACTCGCAATAAGGAACAGATCACAGGTATCAGAATAAAGACTGGAAGCTTCATGAAACATTTTAAACAAAGGGGAGATGAGAAAGAGAGAGAAAGTCACACTTTCCCATGTAAATTACTTCACAACACTTTTAAACTACTGCCCTCCCCACATCCAAAACTGAAGGAAATGCCAGGGTCTCATTTGAAGGAAGGAGATGCAACAAATCCCCTGTGGGGGGAAACATGTGTTCTTTCATCACAGGGGGATAAAATCACATCTCCCAGAGATGTCCATCTTTCACTTCCTGTGAAACCCAGAAGCAAGGGTCACTTGCATTTCAACTCTTCCCTCTTTGTTTGAGCATCCAAAGAGGCCCTAAGCTTCTTCCAGAAGTGGAATTTACCCATAAATGTTACTGTACAATAGCTTTTACCTGACCCAAAACCCTTTAGATAGGTCAGGCTGTAAATCTCTTTAGCATAAGCAAAAGCAGGAAACGACGCTTCTAGCTGGAGCAATGCAGAAGGAAAAACAGCTCTGCCTCCGGATGTTTTATGGTGTGGCCTCTTATACCTTAACACACCACTATTAGCATATTGCTGCAATCACCAATGGCACTTTCCCCTTTAACTTCCCCTTGAATTGCCATCGAAACTCATCAGATGCTTCCAATAAAAGGAAGCTAGCCTTTGCTTTTACTACAGTGCTCAGCAATGCAGATAAATTCTGGGGCTCAGACACATTCTCTCTGCTGACCCCACTATCAAGAAGGGAAGAAAAGTCAGCTGAGGAACCCAGTGTGATTTTTATAGAAAGTGTACTCTGTTGGTGGAAATACAATAAGGTTATCTGTTTGGGGGATTTGTTTGAAATGAATATAATATGAAATCTAGTAATATGTTGGGGGGAATTGGGGGGGGGAATCATATTTGCCAAGCAAACCAACTTATCTTATATCAAATGTCTTGCGCTAAAGGGAATTCTACCAAGTCCATCCTAACAAGAATCCCAGCATGGGAAGATCAGCCATGCTTCAACTGGAGATATAGAGATGATATAGATAAAGATATGTACCAATTAGCAACTGTGCCTTTTGTTCTGGCATGATGAAACTGATCTCCCTGATATTCTTGCCTTGTGTGTCTTGTCTTTTAGACTGCAGGGACATCTTATATTTATTTATGAACAGGGCCTAGTTAATGCAGGCATCCTAGAAATAATTAACAACTATCACCATGGTGTTTTGCTTTTGTTTCTGTCAATCATATACAAGCAGAAGTGTTGAAAAGGGCCCCACCACTGCCACCTGAAACTCAGTGTATCTTTGGGCTAGATGAAGAAGGGGGTCAGAGCTACTGGTATAGTCCCCATGTTTAGGGAGGGTGTGCATCCTGTTTTACGAAGGATACTGCTCTGTTTGAAGGGCTGGCAGAGGGCCATCCTCTTTCTCAACCTCTTTTTCAGGTGTGGGAAACCTTCTCCAGATGTTATTGAACTACAACTGCCATCATCTCTGACCATTACCCATGTAGCTGATGGGAATTATAGTTCAGCAACTTCTGGGGGCCAATGTTTCCCTGTTCCTGTTTTATTTGAAGGGTGGTTTAGTAGAACTCCAGTTTAAATATTTTTTAAAAGAAGGGGGCCTTGAAGTTGCCCATACCTGGACCTGGACAGCAGGCTGGGCATTCCACAAATGGGGAACCACCACCGATAAGGCCCTGTTACGGGTCAGTCACTACCAACTGGGCAACCCCCAATGGCAGCACCAGGAGGCTGGAGAGGGGCAATTGGCTGGGAGAGGAAGAGTGGGGAGAGGTACTGGCTAGCACTCAACCCCCTGCCCTCTTGAAGAAGCTACCATCTCTAAGCTCATGTTTCTGGGAAGCATTTACCTCAGGATTAGGTTCCGCTGAGGTTGTAAGCCAAGCATAGGCAAACTCGGCCCTCCAGATGTTTTGGGACTACAACTCCCATCATCCCTAGCTAACAAGACCAGTGGTCAGGGATGATGGGAGTTGTAGTCCCAAAACATCTGGAGGGCCAAGTTTGCCTATGCCTATTGTAGGTCATCTGCCTGAGTGGCTGCAGCTGTTCAGGATACTCCCCGAGCCAGTGCACCTTCCACTGGTGCTGGGGAAAGGAGGGTATAAGGACAGCCTGATGGGGATAGGGGGGTGAGGTATAAGGGGTAGGATTAAGATTATTAAAGTGCCTTTTACTGGAAATTGTTTCGTGTGTGGCATGGTGTCCTTTCTCGGGGGAGCTGTTGTGTTTTCCTTTAGGCCGTTTCCAGGATGAGAGACTGAATGTGGTCCAAGTGAAAAGTGGTTTCATGTGCCTTGGGTGAGAGTCCACCCCACCATGGAAAAATGCCCTTCTTGGGTGAGAGGCAGGAAGCAGTGTTTAGTCTGTGTCCCAGGTGAGAGCATTTGTTCTGGTTCAGTATTGTCTAGTGTAACTCTTCAGCATTTCACTGAAAGGATGCCTACACTTTGCCAGTGTGCTACATGCAACCCCATAGAGAGGGATTTCCCACAGGGCCAAGCTGACACCCTGCGATGGAAGCGGGGCAGGGGGAGGTGTTTTCTTAAAGGCTGCGTAATCCCCGCAATAATACAAAACACGCTGCCTTGCTCTCAAGCAGCTCCCATACATTCCAGTCAGATTGCACCCGCAGTTAATTATAAACATGCAAGATGAGGGAAGCCCTGCTCTTTAACTCAGCTTTCTCATAAACACACCACTGTTTCTTAAAGGCTTTTTAATAAAATGAAAATGTAAAAATCAAATGCACTCAATGATTATTATTATTATTATTCTTGAGTACTTGGACATTGGTGTTTTCTTGAATCTCCTGCGGAGGAAGATGAGGCACTGCAGTGGCAGCAGGTGCAGTTTGATTCACAACCGAGCTGACCTTCTGTAGGAGCATGGCAGGAATTTCAAATAGGATTAGCCACCCCAGACAAGAAAAAGGTCACAGGACATTTCCACTGGAAATTCTCATGCAAATAGGCCTTTTGATACGCATGACGTTTTTTTCCACACACATCTAATAGCTATGCATACAGAAAAAAGGAAATACTGAAACATGATGGCTAATGTATGTTAATCTTGTGAAGGTGTTGACTTCCCAGAAAAAAAGTCAGGCTGCCAAAGGATAAGGGCATCACAGACCCTGCCTAGAAGAGAGTCCTAGCAATATTAGGACCTTGCAGAGCTGTGCAAAGGAGCAGGGCTTGTGTATTTTGATTTTGATTTGTGTTAAGGTTTAAATTTTGGGGAGGGGGGGAATCCGTTTGCCTTAGTTTGAGCACTGTTGGAGGTCAGGTACTTGCTTTAAGATCTCAAACATTGCAGCAGTTACTCGGTGGTAAGGGAAAGAACTCAAAACATGCTCAGAGGCGATTCTTGCTTTCTTCATCTCCAACAAGAACATGAGCCTTACTGGATAAGGCCAATCAAGTCCAGCATCCTGTTCTCACAGTGGCCAGCCAGATGCGTATGGAAAGCCCACAAGCAGGATCTGAGTACAATTGCACTCTCCCTGCTTGCGTGTGTAGGTCCCCAGGCCACCCCTCAAATAACTTCACACATAACACGTAATTTTAGTTTAGGTTTTTGGGCACTATTTTGGCCACAACTTTATTAAAATACAAAATCAGTGAGTGGTTGTTTAGACATTGGCTATGACTATCTGTCCCCCCGCCTGGGACAGAACTGACATCCCGAGGTCCGATCGGTAGCCAGTAGAAGAGAAAGTCAAACTTGGGGGTCATTTGAGCTAAGCGTCGGACCCACGCCGCTCACCCCAGCAGCTCCCCGAAAGCTTGCCGGCCCTGGTCCTATGACAAGGATTCCCATGACAGGGATTGGGCGGCCCTGGTCCCATGACAGGGATTGGACAAAATCACGGCAAGCCCCAGGATTCCTTTAACGGAATTCCCTTCAGCGCAATTGGAGGGGCAGGCCCAGCCTATCCTGACCCCTCCACCACCAGCATATTATAACCAATGCCTAACCGCAACCTTACAAGTTGTGACGAATTGCTGAGTAGTAGGCAAAAACCAAATGGCACAGCCAATCACCAAATGGCAAAATTCCTACTAGGCCCCTGCTCCAAAGCAGACGACCCCATGACAGGCAAAGCAAGGTCAACTGGAAAGAGGGCGGGCGGGTGATCCGATGCACTCTGCAAAGAGAAAGAGAAACCAGAGTGCACCAATATTTAAAGACTATGGTCCCACTCACCCAATTTGCAACATACAATTTGCCCCAGCAACCCGGTTACCCAATCATGATGCCAGGCAACAACTATTAACCTGCCTGGCAACAAGAGGCCTGGCCTGGTGGCCCACACCGCAACACGTGCTCTCATTTATTGGAGAACACACTTTGTGATTCACAGCAACTGTTATTCAGAGACATATGGCTTCCAAAGGTGGAGACAGAGCAGAGCCATCATGGCTACTGGCCGTGTTTTCTAATGGGCAATGTTTCTGAGGAGAGCAACTGTGGCATTCTCAAGGCGAGGCAGTTGAGCTCCTTCTCTATCCAGTGACTGAATGGTGCCAAACCAAGCTAGAAGCAGGCCACTCCCAACAAAATGTCACTGGAATCTATTCTTTTAGATTAATTATGAGGTTGTATTGGAGTTGTGTTTGAGCAAGAGCACAATTACAGACACATAATGTAAGTTTGAGGTAACTTGCCACAGCATGTACATGAGAGCTTGGTAAACTGAAGGCCTCAACTCCTCTTTGGGGGAATGGGGTGAAACTGGTAGTAGTCCATCCTTTATAAATGTTCATCCTTTACACCCCATTTGCTGTCTAGAACCCAAGCTATGCTGCCATCATATCAACTGTGTCTCCTTGGGATGAAGTATATTGGGTTTACCACGTTCTTGGGTTTAGGAGAGGACACCTACCAGAGGACACATTTCCTCTGAGAAATGCTGTGGGTTGAATCCCAGCTCCTCCCACTATCTATCCAAGGAAGCTCAGTAGCAAGTATGGAATTGGGCATGAGAAAAATGGTAGATACACCGAACATGTTTAGATAAACTACATTTCCGAATCCCATCCACCCAGAAAAGTTCATGGCTGAACCTGGAGCTCCCTGAAGAGAGTGCCATATTCTTAGAAGGGTAAACCAATGAGTTTCAGTCTTTCAGATAAAGGCCTCACTCTCCCTCATCACAGATGGATGTGTGCCTGAATGAATTAGTAATAGTGTGAAAGGAAGGCCTTTTTGCCACTTTGCCCTGGTACAAATTAAGCCACGACAGGGATGGTGTTTTATTAAACAAAGACTTTTAAAAAATAGTTAGGACTACTGTTAAAATTATGTCAGTTTGGAGTATGTTAAAAATTATTTTAAAAGCTATCATTGAAGATTACTGTTTTTCAATTCAAAAGCCAGTTAAAAGTAGGTCACATGATATAGGTTGGGAGAAGATCTCTGGTATGGAAAGATGAAATAGCATTGACTTAAACGGTATTGGCTTCTTTGCTCTGGCTACATCAAGGGAGATATTGGGGAGGGGGGAGACGCCTGTTGTCCAGTGTTAATTTGAGGACTTTATTTTTTAGGATGGAAGGAGGCCCTTCTCAACATGAATGAAAACATTAGCACAGGAAAATTTCAGAAGGGCAACTCCCTCTGAGAAAAGTCAGCCTTGGAAAGAAATGTGTACCATTTGAATTCACAAAACACTTGAAAGGTAATGATTCTTAAATTAAAATGGCAAATTATGTACCGGGACAAAAAGCTTTTTCCACCCTGATGGGTCTTAACAAGAGCAATAAACCATGTCTAACTGCACCAATATATAGCTACCATCAGCATATTGCTAAGCTACTGCACTTCTGGCTAAATCGGTTTCCTCTTAATTTGCCCTCATTGCTGAAACAGAGGGGGGAAATGCAACATAGTTTTTACAAAGCGTACAAATATCAAAGGGTGAAAAGAGCTGAGAGATGCAAAAGGGCGGGAGCTTATCCCTTATGTACACATTTACTTATTTCACTGGGACATTCCCTATATTTCAAAATAAGGAAAAGAGCAAGCATTGCAGTAAAAGTTTGCTGCTTAGAGTACTATGTATCTCAGCCGCTCTGCTTACAGTACTTTGTTTCCATACAAGGGTGTTTTTGGCAAAATATAAACTTGCAAGAGATTTCCAAAATCCACAGTTGGGCAATATACTGTATTAGAATTAACCAGAATGCAACAATATCATGGCAAGCTTTTGTGTTTTCCAGAATTTTTCATCAGGCAAGATATGGCACAGGGCAATGCAGTGGCGTTCATTTTCTTAATTTGACAAGGAACAATAGATTTGTTTACAGAGTTTTGTCTTATGTGACAGCTGAATTTCCCAACTTGGTGCTATTTAATGACACCTCCTGAGTTCACCAAATTACCAAGGATAATGGTTCAGTCTGGACCAGTCATTATTTTTTTATTTAAGTAAGCAGATTGCCTCTTTAAAGCCAGCTAATGCTATTTAAGCAGATGGTAATCTGCTTCCAGTTTGTAGAACATTTATTGAAGGGCAGTGGCACCCCTTTTGGGGGCTTGTTTGTTTGGCATAAACTAGACACGATCATTTGATTTAAAATCTGTTTTATAATGAGGCATCTGCTTTCACTTTATAAACATTAAGTCTTTGCTACAGGGACTGCAATAGACCAGGATGTGCCTTCCCCATCCTAGTACCGTTCCAGATGTTTTGCACTACAACTCCCATAAGTCTTAGCCAGCATGGCCTGTGACGGAAGCTGAAGTCCAAATATCTAGAGGGCACTAGGTTGGGGAATGCTGAACTATACTTATCACTTAAGGCTTGAGAGGACAGTAAAAAGCCTGTAGGCCAGACCTGTGACCCTCCAGATAACGTTGGACTACAACTTCCATCAGTACTAGCTACCATGGCCAGTAGTTAGAGGTGATGGGATTTGTAGTCCAGCAATGGAGGGACACAGATTCTCCATCCATGCTGCAGATGTCACAGTTTGTATTGATCTGGATGCAGGTATTACTGGTGAGGGGGTTAATGGGAGATAATCCAAAATTGGATGAAGATGAGAAATTAATCAATTGTTATGGAAGGACTGGAGAAATAGAAGAACAGAAGGAGAGAAGCAGATTTCAGAATGAAATCGGCACATTGATATTTATGTGCTTGAAGTACTTGTATTCCTGCCTTCTGCCTGGCCCTACCAGTCCCATGGCAGACCAGCCACCATCTTTACCATTAGTCCATGAAGACACCTCTGCACTCTCTTTTTACTTTACGAATTTGTCTTTTTCAAGCAAACCCAAAAGGGAGAGGAGAAGAGAAAAAGGGTTCAACTAAGCCAGATCTTTCCAAAGCACACTTACTTGGAATTTAGATCCACTGAAATTAATGAGACTTGCTTATGAGTAAATATGCAAACTGATTCTAAGTACGTTCTCTTCATTTTCCTTGCAGATTTTTTTTATTAGAACTCCTAACTCTTCAGAAAGGTGGAAAAGGCAATCTACTAGGAGGTCGCCGTATATCTCCAAGCATGTGATTTTACTTTGCGATGTACCATTCTTTAACTCGCACGCATGATTTATCGTGGCCCACAAAAGCTGCTCTGCAATATTCCAGCATCTCTCTCCACCCCTTGCCATCCCACATGGAGCCTTAGCTGAACTAAAATTTTGCAAACCTTTACATTGTTCTTCCTGACACCGGATCAGCAAAGACAAAAAGCAACTGCCAGCTCAAAAGCAACCCGGTGATAGAGCCTGGTGCTATCTAATCAAGGGCAAAAGGTCACTTCCGAACAACTGGGCAATAAAAGATTATTTCCAGCCACAAAACAGAAAGACTCCATGGTGGATGCTTGAAAGAGGAGGGGTGGAAGGAGGGCAAAAGGGCTCCCGTCTGTGGGAGGAAGTGCATTGAATAAAGCCAGCAGACAGGAACCATCTGGCTCTGAGCGTGGTCTGTTCTTAAGAAGACAGAGAAAGCCCCCTCAGAGGGGCCAGTGACTCCATGCAATGATTCAAACTTTTGTTGTAATTTAAAAGCTGCTTTCCCAGGCACCAAGAAATTGAAAAAGACAACTTTCCCAACACAGGGTCTGAGGGACACGTCTTATCGCATGCTGACTGCAAGACACATCCCTCATTTTATATACAGCTCTTATTAAAAAGGTTGGATCCTGAGAAGTCAGTAAATTGGAATTCCTGACTGTTAAGAATCAGATAAGCATGAACACACATTATATTTTAAATTCAGGAATGGTCTCTTTGCCTTTCTCGCTAAAATACCCTTCCTGGTTAGGTGGCCTCACCAGATGAAAGCAAGAAAACGAAAGGAAAGATTAGCTAACTAGTTGCCTACAAAACAGCAGAATGGCAAGTATTTCCACACAAATAGCACTGAAAATTCAGTAGAGACATACATAGTCACTTTACCTTGCTAAACAGTCTGGAAGTTTTAATCAGTTCAGACAGACAAATATTCATTCTTGAGGGCCCAAATATTCACAAGACAAAAAGTCAAAACCTTCACACCGTGATGGATGACTGTTCCCCCTACCTATTCCTACATGCACAGTTTGGGAAAGGAGATGGAAAGTCACTTAACCATTCTTTACATTGACAGTCACCATTGGATAGCAACAGAGGAAAGTTCAACTCAGAAGCTCAGTTGATACACATTCATTTCAACATAGGAACAGCTTCAATGCAAGTCATGGCAAGCCTGGAGATTGGTTGGGGCCTAAACAAGAGTTACCTGCTGTCAGCAGGTGGATAATTTCTATATCTTTCTGTTGTGAAGTGGTACATCACATGGCAAGATGAGAGGGCTCCAACCTTAAGCACACACTAAATGAGGCCTGAGGGGAACTGGTGACCCTCCTGATTTGTTGGACTCCAGACACCATCATCCCAGACCATTGGTCATTCTGGCTGGTGTGGATTTATTAAACAATATCTGGAGCCCCCAACCAGGGCTGCCTCTCTCCGTGTGAACCTACCTCTCATCATCTTCTGAGGCCCTTCTTCAGGTGCCTCCTCCACAAGACATCCAGAGAGTGGCAACATGCAAATGTACCTTTTTTTGCAGTGGCTCGACATTTGTGGAATGCTCTCCCCAGGGAGGGTCGTCTGGCACCTTCATTATACACTTTTGGGTGCCAGGCAAAATGGTCCTCTTCAGCTGATTGACATCAGATGCCCTTATAAATGTGTGGTGGTGGAAGGGTTGTTTTTGTTCTTATTTTTATTATGCACTTTGTGTTTTTATATTGTCATTTTGTGTTGTGAACTGCTCTGAGATCTATGGATGAAGGGCGCTATACAAGTTTTAATAATAATAATAATAATAATAATTACAACCAAGTCCTACTTCTCAGCACACACATTTACAAAAAAAGCTACAGTAAAAAATAAAATAAAACCTAGTTCCCTATGCACCAAAGGACATAAGCCAGTCACAGGATATCAAAGGGACATGGAAGACTTTCCAAATGCGAAAAGGGGATGTTTTAATCTCTACCAACTTTTGGAAGAGGTGAATCAAAGAAAGGAGTTTTGGTCTCAGTTAGAACCTGTGGACAATGCCAGAAAGGGTATTCTGTCTTCAACTATACTATAATTGTATTGCAATACTTCCCAAAAAGTCCCCTTACACATGGCTACCGATCTATTGATTCCACTGAAAATCATTCTTTTTGAGGTGTTGTGAGGTCCTATGAAAGTTCTGCCTGTGGCAATGGCACATTCACACATGCAGTCACCAGGCCATGGACACAAGGATGCCACAATGCCACATAAATTGTGACCAACCACACTGCCAGAATAAAGTACGAAGCAGGCTAGACTCATCTCACCAGAAGACGTCACCTTTATTCTTGAGAGCGCAGTTTCCATGGAAGAAGAACTTTGGGGCCTAAAACTCTGACAACATCCTTTCCAATTTTCTTTTCCCCCAGTCAAGCCAAAAACAATTTTGTTGTCATCTTATTTTTGACCAGGTTTTTACTGGGTGCTGTTTAAAAATTATAGATTGCCTAGCTTCTAACTCATTTGCTACTTCTTTTCGCCTTTCGGTCCTTGTAAATGGCAACTATTTTCTTATAAAGGGATGTGAGCCCTTGTAAGCTGTGGGACCCAGGCAATTGGCTCAGTGCAGCAGAGCTAAGTTATGAAACAGGAAACTGTGATGTCATGTCTAGTAAAGCATCAAAAAGCACCTTGTTTAAAATAGAAATATCAGATGAGATCATTACTTTTTTTCTTAACATATTCTAATTTTTGGCATAACACCCACCTATCTGAGAGTCATTGTAAAAAGAACACTGTAAAGACTACCCAGAATCCAACCACGGTGTCAAATATTCCTATGAGCATCACTTGTTTTGGCAAATGAGGTTTCATTGGAAAACATGAAAGGAACATCAGTTTTACGTATAAGGAGCATATGCAACTCTCAAGAAGAACAAATGGTCTGAATTAGGATGGGCATTTGAGAGAAACCGAAAATCCTACCATACATTTAGAATTTTATTCAACTCGTATGTGGCCAATTTTATCATTGCCATATTTGAGGGTGGTGTGGGAAGAGAGACTAGCAGGCTTGACACTGATAGACCATGATTCTGATCTAGTCAAAGTGAAGCAGCATTGATTTCAACAGGAAGGAGTCTAGCAAGTGTTTAACTTTCCCAACAGAATCAGCAGACCTTAAATATTGATTTCACTGGAAAAGTAAAACATACCGGTTTACACCATTCATTGGATAACTGAAAGTTCTGTCCCTGGCAACCCTGAAATTGTTAGCTTGAGAGTAATTATTGCTTTTAGGAGTTTTAAACTGGCTAAAAGCCAGGTATCTTTGGAAATGTATTTTGGAACATGCAGGTTAAAAATTGAATACATAAATAAAATATGGAAAGCTATGGGGTGGATCATAATCATGGTCCATCTGTATTGGTCATGTGATAAGCCCTCTCCCTTCAACTCTAACAAATTGTGTCAGCTGGTTGATGAACTGATGTCAGGAAGAACTCAACAAAGCACTGGATACCCAAATTATCCTGATTGGGGCCACAACTCTGCCTCACAAATTCTTCCAACATAGTCCTCAGTGAAAATGTATTCCCTAGTCAAGTGGTCTAAGGGAAACATTACAAGACAGGCTTTTTAAAAAGAGACTTGAAGTTTAGCTCCAACACCAACAGTCTTTGGAAGTTTGGTCTACACAGTTTGAATCTTGGAATCAAGTAGCTATGTGTGGGCACGTCACTTGCTAAAATATTGGTTTACTCTTTAATGCTATGGCTGAATTCAGCACACAGTTCTCCATTATCCTATGGCTCAGACTATGATAATCATCAATACTTTGTTTACTAAAGAATAATTAAGATAATTTGAAGAAGAAACCTATTTCATAAATTTGAGAATATTATTTTCTCTCTCTAATAGATTTCATGTAACATTTTTAAAATGCAAAATATTATCTCCCGCTTTTCTGCTAAAGCAACATTTGAAGTTTTATTTGGTTAGAGTATTTTAGGAACTTTGGTTTGGATGCCCAAGTAAAAGAAGAAGTTAGGACTTCTATAGATTTGTTTGGATAGTATCACTTTAGGTTGCTTGCCTACTGACAAGTTATATGAAGAAAAAAGATCACCATAGACCAGATAAAATGTGGGCAACTAGGTTTTCACTTACCAGCACTGCACCATAGATTGCCTAATGGGTGCACATGCCAAACAACAACACCTGGAAACTCTCTCTCTCTCTCATAGAAGGCTCAGGGGGAGAAGTTTGCTTTCCCTGCCGAAACTGGAGGATTTATTGCTGTTATGCAGGTGCAGGAGGTCACAGTTGTGTCCTAAGAAGGAATAGGCTTCTGGGTGAAAGGACATTTACAGCTGCATATTTGGCACCAGCCCGGTTCCATTTTCCCCACACCAGAAAACAGCTCTTGTTTCCAAGAAATGCAGATGGTTTTTGAAGAACCAGTGCAGTCCAGTTCACAAAGTTATGGCTGATTCATACATGCATGTACATTATTGATTTTTTTTGGGGGGGTCACTTTTACTTCTGCAGAAATGACAGCTGGCATGTGCTGATGCAATCAGAAAGTACTGTGATTGAGGTGATATGCAAGTGCTGAGCGGGCCCATACACAGGTCAGAACTTGATGCTGCAGTCATTCAATGATGAAGATACATGCTAGTGGATCCCAAGACCTGAATTTGGTTGACCACGGTGCCACTTTTGCTGTGGATTCAATATGTAGCTTTGAACAACTCACTACCTGTTGTTATAACCCCTCCCTGTTGACATGGGGTGCTACTAGTAATTTAATACGTTTCTTTGAGGAACACAGTGAAGATTCGAAAACACTTTCTAAATACCTGTCTACAAGAAATGAGTGAAAAACTATTTCCATAGTACATAATTTCAACACCAGTTCACAGTGCTGTAAAAGTTCATCTGCTAACATAAAAAATATTCTCATAAGTGATAGGATTGTAAAGCATGTAACATGGTTCGTCTTCAGTAGACACAATAGCCAAAGGAACATAATGCTCAGTATCAGTCAACAGATTCTAAAAAACCACATAAATCCTATCCACATTTTGTTTGAAATAAACAATACCCAACATCTCTTCCATCCCACTGTCATTAATACGAATGCTAGACATCATCATCGTGTCTAGAAGTCAACTTCCTTCATTTCAGAATACAAAGGTTTCCCAACCCCTAACAAAAAATACAACAAACCAAAACGTCATTTAAAAAACTAATTGAACAAAACCCTACCCTTACACGCATGATTTTCTCCCTGAGAAGGTAAAGCAAGAGAAGAAATAAATCACATCTGACAGAAGTTAGTTATGCCACTTAGCACATGATAGGAAGGCACTCATAACCTGGTGAT